AATTTTAGAGCAAGGAATAGGTAGGATTAAGTCGTGGCAAAATGGGACTACAGCCCTGACAACAGTTTCGAGAGATAATGTTTTAGGACACAAAGACAGTACAATCTAGAAGCAAGTTTTGGGGTACACATGTAGTAAAAGGTATACAATAACTGGTGAAAGAATAAATTGTTAACACACGCTAGTATTATAATTATTAGAATTACTCTGTGTTAATGGATCTTATTAGTTTTAAACGGATACACAGAGGTTAATTGTATTTCTGGACATAAAAAACAACGACGTGCTCACACACACGCGCGGGGGCCGCACATACACTCAGGGCCGGGAGCTGAGTCTCGACCCCTGAAACCACAACAAGTGAGTACACACAGCTGATCCTTGGAATTTGACCGTGTCCCCTCACCCCCCATACACCTTTCCCTCCCCCACAGCCCTTTTCCCCCTCCCCCCGCTTTTTGCCTTCACTCCCTCCTCCCTCCTATCTTTCCCTCTCCCCCTCCCTCGCGTTTTCCCTCTCATAGCCTTTTCCCTCCCCTTCCCCCTACTCTTTCTTTCTCTCCCTCTCTCTCTCCCCCCTCACTCCATAACCCTATCTCTCACCCCCTCTCTCTCTATAGGCTTCTCTCTCCATCTCTCCATTTCTCACCTCATAGCCTTTTCCTCACCCTCCTTTCTCCCCTCTCCCTCCTCTCTCCCTCCCTTTTTTCCCCTCCCTCTCTCTACCCTTTCTCCCCCCCTTCACATTTCTCTCTCTCTCCCCCTTGGTCTTATCCCTCACCCCCTACTCTCTCTCTCCCTCTTTCTACCCTTTCTCCTCTCTCTCCCTCTTTCAAACCCCTTTTCCCTCTCTCCCCCTTGCACCCTCTCCCTCCTCTAGCCTTCTGTCTGTGGTAAAAAAAAAAAATAAAAAAAAATGGGTGGCCCTAGAGGACGGAAAACCAGAGATCTGTAGACGAACCAGAGAGGAAAGACTGGGAGTTAAAGCTCCAAAAAAGGGGGGGAAGATTGGGGAAGGAAGATATAGAGCTTGGTACGAAAATGGAGGAGCGGATAGCGAAGAGTGCAGGGAATGGGAAGTACAGGTCTTTGCAGCAGAAGCTAGGATACAGTGCTTAGAAGAGAAACTACAAAAACCTGAAACAGATTAGAGAGACAAATGACAATTTCAGACTGACATCAGGGAAATTTCAATGTCGGCGCAGACAAGGGGACGGTAAGCAATAACGGAGACATGCCGTACACGAAGGCCCTATCAGACCCACTGGGGCCAGGAAAAGACGAGGAGCACACTAAGATCAAATGACAGGTCCGAAGACAATGAAGGTATGCTATAAAGCAGAGATTCTAACAGCCAACTGCAGTACAAGGGACAGCTGGTCATGAAAGACAGTTCACTGAGAATAGAAGTTTCAGATATGACAGGGACTGAAGGCAAGACATGTCAATGGAAGGAAATAAAATGCCCCAGAGGAAGCAGATGGAGACTCAGTGGGAGGGGGAAAGGGCGAGGTCAGTTTTTGTGTACGGGCTCCAAGAAGCCAAGGGGGACAACTTTGAAGAAATAAAACAGGAGGGGAAAAAAATGATTTAAGGCCTCATGAAAACAATAGGTGAGGGGGATATGAAACCCCGGTGACAAATTTTTTAGAGAATTGGGTGGTTTGCGAGTGGAAGGGTACGGCCTGTCAGAGTAATCAAGGAAGAATCATTCGAACCAGGATTCTGGAAGAGAAAGCAAGACTGAGGGACAAACAGGGGTACCAGAGAGTAAAATATCGACCGCGACAGAACACAAAGAAGAAAGGACTACACTGAAAGAGGGGGGTACAGAGACGCAAGGAGGACGAGAGGCAATGACGAAAATGAGCAGGAGCCAGACAAAGGAGGAAGGGCAAACACACCCCACAGAATCTCCCACCAAAAGACTCCAACCGCGACATTCCCAATGCAACTGAGCAACCTATACACAACCCACTCACTGTTTTTCCCCCTGCCACGAACCCCCATATCAAAAACATCACCCCAACAGCTGTCCCTTATGGGGATTCTGACCCCACCCCCATCATCACAAACCCCACCTACACCACACCCCATATAGGCCCCCACCAAGGCTCTCGCTCCCCCAACCCCAATATTCTTGCATGACCACAATGAAGAAAAGAAACTGAAAGTTTGTACAAAAAACGCGGAGGGAATAACGAATAAACATGAGGAGGGGAATGAAAGAATCAGTGAAAAATCTCAAGACACCCATAGCAGTTACAGAAACAAAACCGCTGAGACAATAACCAGACACAATCTCCCAACGGGATATCAATCCTGAGGAAAGATAGAAGGAGTAGAGGGGGAGGAGGGGTTGCACTGCTCATAAAACATCGATGGGATTTGAGGAAAGGGAAGGCATGGACAGATTGGAGAAAGAGACTACTTTGAAAGGTACAATTCAGTCCGGAGAACATAAAGTAGTCATTGGAGTGATGTATAACCCACCACAAACCCACAGGAGGCCAAGAGAGGAGTACGAAGAAAACAACAGGTGATGGTGGACACACTGGCTGAGGTGGCAAGAAGAGCTCACTCGGGCAGAGCAAAGTTACTGGTAATGGCATTTCAACCACAGGGAATCGACTGGGAAAACCGGGAGCCACATGGGGTCCCGAAACATGGAGACCCAAAAATGATGGATGTGGTACTTGAAAATCTCATGCATCAACATGTCAGGAAAAACAAACCCAGAGAGAGAGGGAGGATGAGCCAGCAAACTGGATCTTGTGTTCACCCTGAGCAGTTCAGACATTGAGGACATTATTTAACGAGAGGCCCCTTGGAGCTAGCGATCACGTGGTTCTGATTTTGATTAATAGTAGAGTTACAAGTGGAGAAGGTAACAGGAACTGAAGGGGACAGGCCAAACTATAAAAGGGGGACTACACAGGTATGAAACTTCCTGCAGGGTTTTATTGGGGCAGAGAAATGGGGGGAAAATCAGTAAACGAGATGATGGAATATGTGGCAACAAAGTGCAAGGAGGCAGAGGGAAAATTTTGTTCCCAAGGGAAAAAAGAAATAATAGGAAGAACCAAAACGAGTCCTTGGTTACCCGAAGGTGTAAGGGAGGCAAAAACTAAGTGCAACAGAGAATGGAAAAGGTAAAAGGAGGCATAGGACCCAGGAAAACAGAGAAATTTGTAGAAAAAGCCAGAACGAGTATGCACAGATAAGGAGGGAGGCCCAGCGACAGTAAAGAAAACGACATAGCATCGAAGTCAAATCTGGGCCCGAAACTGCTGTATAGCCACATTAGGAAGGAAGACAACAGTCAAGGACCAGGTGATAAGGCTGAGGAAAGAAGGTGGAGAACTCACAAGAAACGATCAAGAGATATGTGAGGAGCTTCAACACGAGATTTAAGGGAAGTATTTACAGTAGAGACAGGAAGGACTCTGGGGGACAGACCAGATGGGACACCACAAGGAAACACCAACAAGTGTTGGACGACATACAACAGATGAGGTGAAGAAACTGCTAAGGGACATCGATACCTCAAAGGCAATGGGAAACCGGGCAACATCTCCCCGGGTACCTTAGAGAGGGAGCAGATATGTTTTTTGCGTGCCACTTACCACAATCTTCAACACTCCCTGGAAACTGGGCAACTAACTGAGGTATGGAAGACGCAAATGTAGTTCCCAAATTTTTAAAAAAGGAGACAGAAAAGAGGCACTAAACTATAGACCTGTGCCATTGACGTGTATAGTAAAAGCAAAATTATGGAGAAGATTATCAGGAGGAGAGTGGGGAGCACCTGGAACAGAACAAGAGTATAAATGCCAACCAGCACGGATTCACGGGAAGGGAAATCCTGTGTCACAAACCTTCTGGAGTTTTATGATAAATAACAAAACACAGAGAGAGGGGGGGTTTTT